CCAACTCTAAAAAAAAGGGAAAAAAAAAGATCGTAAAATAAAACAGTATGCCCACAATATTTAAACATTTCAAGAAATATCCGGAAAAATTATTATACAAAATGACTCAGGGAGAGGCAGAAAACTATTTCAAAATTGAGTCTTTAGTTAAAATGTCTTCATATGGAAAACAACAGACCTAGGTAGTTTTTATGGGTGAGTTCTATAAAACTTTAAAGAAATAGACCATTTCAGTCTAATATCAGAAAGTCTAATAATGAATTAACTATATAAACAGACTAGGGAAATTTTTTTTTTTTTTTGAGTTGGAGTCTCACTGTTGCTCAGACTGGAGTGCAGTGGCCGGGCAGCCTCGACCTGCTGGGCTCCGGCAATCCTTCTGCCTCAGCCTTCAAGTAGCAGGAACTACAGGCGTGCGCTACCATACCCGGCTAATTTTTTGATTTATTGTAGAGATGAGGTCTCACCAAGTTGCCCAGGTGGGTCTCGAACCTGCGGGCTCAGGCAATTTACTCACCTCAGCCTCCCAAGGCGCGGGATTACAGGCTGAGCCACTGAACCCGGCTATGATTGTATTTCAATAAAATTTCACGGACACATATTCAAATTTCATATAATTTTCTTTTCTTTTCTTTTTTTTTTTTTACTTATTTTATTTTATTTTTTTGAGTTGGTGTCTCCCTCTGTCGCCCAGACTGGAGTGCAGTGGCACACTCCCAGCCACCGCAGCCTCGACCTGCTGGGCTCCGGCGATCCTTCCGCCTCAGCCTTCCAAGTAACTGGAACTACAGGCACGTGCTACCATGCTCGGCTAATTTTTGATTTATTGTAGAGATGAGGTCTCGCCAAGTTGCCCAGGTGGGTCTCAAACCCGTGGGCTCAGGCAATCCACTCATCTCAGCCTCTCAAAGTGCAGGATTACAGGTTGAGCCACCGAGCCCGGCATCATATAATTTTCACATGCCAAAATAATATCTTTCTTTTAATTTTTTTTCCCCATTGTAAAAATCATTCTTAGCCCACAGGCCAAAAACAAGCAGCAGGCCCACCAGCTGCAGACCTTGGCTTGTTAATCCTTGCTTCAGCTGGCCACCCTCCAACATGTTGAGTTGTCTCTGAGGCCTCACCAGAAATAAAGGGTATCTTGGGAACAACAATGGCCACATGTGCTGCTGGGAATACAGCTTCTAAGGACTTAGGGGACTTTAAGCCTGTCTTTAATAGCATTCATTGGCTTCCCTCATCCCTAAGGTCAGAGGCTGTTTTTTTGTTTTTGAGGTCTCACTGTGTCACACAGGCTGGAGTGCAGTGACACAATCGTAGCTCACTGCAGCCTTAAACTCCTGGGTTCAAGCAATCCTCCTGCCTTGGCCTCCCAAAGTGTTGGGATTACAGGTGTGAGCCACCGTGCCCGGCCTAGAACTTCTTAGCATGTCACTTGCAGCCTTCTGTGACCTAACCCCCATTTGCAGGGCCACTTTCAACTCCTCATGCCTCCCCCTGGAGTTCTTGAGCTATGGTCCCCCTGACAGGGTTCTGTGCCTTTTCATCCTTTTCCCTTTCCTGGGAGTAGACCTGTGTCATGGTCTAACTAGCCATGGTCCTAAGACTATCCCCTTCCCTAGGCTAAGTTGCTGGTCTCTGCTGCTTCTCCAGTCCTTGGCATGTTGGGGCCTCTAGCTAACAGGACTTTCTCCTGTGTATGTATCCCCCCAGGTGGGGCTCAAGTGAGGGCTTAGTGAATGTCAGCTCAATGAGAGGAAGAAGGATGAAGCTTCTGGACACAAGCAAGCGGTCTCCTGAGAGGCGTCCCAGAAGAGAATGTGGAATTTCTATGCTGGTGCAACCTTTGAGATTTTCTCACTTAGAAAGTCCTCAAGAAGTGCCTGGGCCTGGTAGCACTTTGGGAGGCCAAAGTGGAAGGATGGCTTGGGGCCAGGAGTTTAAGACCACTCTGGGCAACATAAGGAGGCCCTGTCTCTAAAACAAAACAAAACAAAATGAGCTGGGCTCAGTGGCTCAAGCCTTTAATCCCAGCACTCTGGGAGGCTGAGGCAAGAAGATTGCCTGAGCCCAGGGGTTCAAGACCTGCCTAGGCAACATGGTGAGACCTTGTCTCTACATAAATAAAAAAATTAGCCGAGTTTGGTGGCACACACCTGTAGTTCCAGCCACCTGGAAGGCTGAAGCAGAAGAACCCAGCAGTTGAGGCTGCGGTGGCCATGAGCATGCCACAGCACTACAGCCTGGGCTACAGAGTGAGACGTTGACTCAAAAAAAAAAATGCTTTTTCAAATTGGACCTGGCAGAATGGTGCCTACAAAGAAGGGTGGTAAGAAGAAGGGCCGTTCTGTCATTAACAAGGTGTGACCCAAGAATACATCATCAAATTCACAAGTGCATCCATGGAGCAGGCTTCAAGAAGCATGCCCTTTAGGCACTCACAGAGATCCGAAAACTTGCCGTGAGGGAGATGGGGGCTCCAGGTGTTTACGTTGATACCATGCTCAACACAGCTGTCTGGGCCAAAGGAATAAGGAATGTCCTGTACTGTATCTGTGTCCAACTGTCCAAAAAACGTAACGAAGATGAAGTCTCACCAAACAAGCTTTATACTTCAGTGACCTATGTACCTTTACCACTTTCAAAAATCTACAGTCAATGTGGGTGACAACTAATCACTGATCATCAAGTACATCAGATAAAGTTAAAACACTGCCATAAAATAAAAAATAAAAATAAAACAAAAGAAAGTCCTCAGGAAACTCCTGAAGAGTCTCTAGTCCTAACACTGCTGGGGGTCCAGTTCAGGGAAGCTCATTCAAGGAAGTGATGCCTGGTCTGCTTTGACGTGTGACCTGGGAGGGAAGACTCCATTTCTGGAGCAGGAAGGAAGCTAGTGCAGCAGGAACTCTGAGCTGAGGGTCTCTGGTAGGCACGGAAGCCTTGTTTCTCTGTTTGTAGAATGTGCAGACTCACTTTCCTCTGTTCACAGGTCAGTGAGATGTTGTAAATGCTCCTTGTGAACTGGGGAGCAGATTTTTTTTTTCAGTCGAGTCTCACTCTGTTGATCAGGTTGGAGTGCAGTGGCACGCTCACAGCCACTGCAGCCTCGACCTGCTGGACTCAGGTGATCCTTCTGCCTCAGTCTTCCAAGTAG